ATCAGTTGCTTTGGGCGTCATTTCGTCTTTCGAGGGTATGTGCTAGGTGGAACATTGTAGTTGGATGGTGGGAGCAGATTGATTTCAGCTGTCGGATTTAGAGAAATCCATGCCATTCATTTTCCTTTAAATAGGAGCCTTGGTAGTGCTTTTCTTCTCCATTTGAACTTAGACGCCCTTGCTGTCGAGTGAAAATAGCTCCCTAACTCACAAGTCTCCAAAACTCTTTTTCTTTTTTCTTTCTTTGGGACATTCCATCCTTTTTATGTAATCTCAAAATGTCATTTTAGACTCTGGTCCCGAGTGCCATGAACTCTCGAACATCTCGGGAGGGAGCTCTCCTATAATCCCCTCTCCCTTGTCTTCACTAGGTTCTTTAGCTGTAGTCCCCCATTGACAGGAGGTGGCCATTTTGAGGGAGAGGTTAGCTTCGGGGGATGCCGAAGGCAATCACTTGGGAAATGACTCTCCCCACGAAAGTGCTGCCTTGGCGTCGCCAAGGGAGCATGAGGGATCTCCTCTCTCCGAGGGTGATGCTGTGGAGCTCGTTGTCGGACCAGTAGGGGGGAGTGCTGCCTGAAGGGTGGTTGATGCTGGCGTCCCACGTTCGAAGTTTGACAACTCCTTGGATGTGTTCCAGGTCAAATCCTTGACGAAGAGGTTCCATATACCTCGGTCATACAGCCTGAGGGTCCTTGACGTGGGTGATAGGCTGTTGACCCCCGAGGAGGCGGAAATCTGCATCTACCAGCATTTTTTAGAGTCTGGCCTTAGGTTTCCCCTCCCAACCTTGATCTCCTAGCTGCTGGAGTGGTACGACATCACTATCAGCTAGCTCGTACCTATCGCCCTCAAGACCATAGTGGCGATGATTGTGTGGGCTTGGCTCAGGGGTGTGGAGTTGTCGTTGAGACTATTCCACGCCATGTTCATGCCAAGGAAGCATGCTTCCGAGAAGAAGGAAACCAGTGCACAACCCCTCTTCCATTCACGGCTGGAAGGAAAAGTAGTTCTACGTCTCCTGCCCTGAGGGTTGGCGCTTTAGGCCTGACTAGGGGGAGGCCCGCATCGTCATCGAGAGATGACCTCATCGCTCCAAGACGTAGCGGTTGCAGTAGTGACTCATCTACCTGTAATGGGACATTCCAAGCGAAGCCAATGGTGGAGGAGGAGGTCCCGTTAGTCTTCGCTGGGATTAGCCCAACTTCCCTCGGTAGGAGAGGTTCTGTAGTTAGCTGGGAAGAAGGTCGGTGGACAAATGCCGAAGAGGCCCGGCGACAAAGCTGTCCCATGCCCCGGGAAAGGGGGATTCGCAAGCACCTTCCAAGGGGAAGCAGATAGTAGGGGCATCGAAGTGGACTGTAGAGGTGTGGAGGAAGCCCACCACTGGGGGGGAAGTGCCAAAGAAGCCCACCACCCGGGAAGAGGCACCAAAGAGGTCCACAGAGGGACCTGAGGCGGGAAAGATGAGGCCCGCCACTAACACACCGAGGGAGGAGGCCCCGTGGAATCTTGCCAACATAGATAGGCAGGTCGAGGAGGTGATTTAGAGGTCCATGCATGCGGAACGCCCACCGGGCCTTCGTCAGCCTCTCCCTTGGTACAAGGCGCCTTCGAGTGAACCGAAGGGGCTGGCAAGACTTTCCACCCCCAATGGCAGCTCCGAGAGGGGGACTCCATCTACGACGAAAGGGTCAACCAAGAGCTGGTTAGCAGATCCATTTTTCCAGGGATCGCTACCGCCTTCTGCAAAGCGACCCCAAGTCTATTTACGATGAGGGCCTGTACCACTTGGCCAAGGTAACATGTTCTTCAATATTTCACCGTATATATGTTTCTTTTTATTTTTTGTTTTCGCTGATTGGTTTTGTGACAGGCTTGTCTACACTTCATCGGCTAGGGGGACCGAACAAGGTTGGCCGTGAAGAATCGCTTTGGGACCGCCTCGAAGTTTAGCTGCAGGTGGCGCAGTAAGGGCTCTCCAAAGAGCAAGTGGAGTGGGTGCGGCTAGAGAGTATCGTCACGGAAACGGAGAGATGAGCTATCGAGGCTGAGAATCGAGTTACCGAAGCCCTAAAGAGAGCTTCCGAGGTGGAGGCGAAAGTTGTCGAAGCTCTAGCTTCGGTAGAGGAGTCAAACAAGGCAGCGGCCAAGGCAGTGGAGACGTACAAGAAGTCTTCCGACTACCTGGATGCGTTGATGGAGTACATTTCGTCCTCTTACCTCAACAACATAGAAGATACTAAGAAGGCACTCCTACTGGTGCTGTTGGATTTTGATGTCGAGGGAATTTAAGTGATCCCCGACGCTCTTGCCGAGGCTCACCCATCTAAAGACGTTGTTCCCTCTTCGGGTCGTGATGAGGCAGCTCCAAGAGGGGGACTCCATCTACGACGAGAGGGTCAGCCAGGAGCTGGTCAGCGGATCCATTCTGTCGAGCGATCGCAACCGCCTTCTACAAAGTGATCCCAAGTCTATTTATGATGAGGGCCTGTACCACTTGGCCGAGGTAAGACATTCTTCAATATTTCACCGTATATATGCCTATTTTTATTTTTTGTTTTCATTGATCAGTTTTTTGACAGACTTGTCCACACTTCATCAGCTTGGGGGACAGAACAAGGATGTCCATGGGTCATGCCAACAAGGCCGGAGAGGAGAAGAAGGCCACAGAGGAGAAGCTCCAGAAGGTAACCACCATTGCTGAGGAGAAGCACCGGAAGTTCCGCAAGGCACTTCTGAATGAACAATCACTTCGAGACTGCCTCGAAGTTCAACTGCATGAGGCGCGGCAAGGGCTCTCCAAAGAGCAAGTGGAGCAGGTGTGGCTGGAGAGTATCATCATGGAAGCAGAGAGACGAGCTGCTAAGGCTGAGAAGAGAGCTGCCGAGGCGGAGGCGAAAGCTGCCAAAGGCAGCAGAGTCAAAGAAGGTAGCAGTCGAGGTAGTGGAGACATACAAGAAGTCTTCCGACTACCTGGATGTGTTGGCGAGTACGCTTTGTCCTTTTACCTCGACGGCATAGAAGATATTAAGAAGGCACTCCTACTGGTGCTTCCAGATTTCGATGTCGAGGGACTGCAAGTGATCCTCGACGCTCTTGCCGAGGCTTCCCCAGTTGAAGATACCGTTCCCCCTCCGACCCGTGATGAGGCGCAGGCGTAGACTTCCCCACTTCTTATTTTGTTCTATTGCTGTAATAGTTTCCATCTGTTTTGTTATTTTCTTTTTTAAACACAATACAAAATTTTGTAAAGGCTTGTACAAGATCAAAATTGAATAGTGAATGAAGTGAATGAAGTCATCTTTTGTGTACACTGTGTTTTGTGTATGCTGTCTCTTTTTTTTTTTATGCAAGAGGTCCTTGCCCCTCCGAAAGGATATTGGGATCTGAGGTGGGGCTCGCCTGGCTTTCAAGTCACGTGCTATCCCAGGCAAGGCCAAAGAGACCTGGCACCCTGGCCAAGGTATAGGGCTGAAGTATACCACGCAGTAATAGTGGCTAGGGGTACAACCTCCACTCATTTAGTGAAGTAATCCATAGCAATGACGAGGTACTTCCTGCCTCCCGTTGCATGAGGAAGGGGCCGAGGAGGTCCATCCCCCACTTGGCGAAGGGCCAGGGGCTGCTGAGGGCCGAGAGGGTGGTGGCTGGTTGATGGTAGAAGTTGGCATGTCTTTGACATTGATCACATTTCCGCACCAGCTCGGCCGCGTCCTTGTGAAGTGTCGACTAGAAGTACCCCTGCCTTAATGTTTTCTGGGCTAGGGTCTGGCTGCGGAGGTGATTGCCAGAGATGCCTTCGTGAATTTCCCAGAGAATGTGCTCGCCCTCCTCCCTGTAGAGGCATCGGAGGTAAGGAAATGTGAAGGACCTCCTATACAACTTTCTTTCTAGCAAAGTGTAGTGTGCTACTTGCTGTCAGAGTTTTGGGCTTCGTTCCTATCATCGGGTAGCCTTTCTGTCAGTAGGAAGTCAATGATAGGATCCGTCAAAGACGGTTTAGCCTCCACGGGTAGGATTTGGGTGTCCTCTATGGAGGGTCAGACTAGTCTTTCCACGTGCACAAAGCAGCTGAGGGCCGCACCCGAGGTGCTCGCCAATTTGGAGAGGGCATCAACTCCGGAGTTCTCGACTCGCGGGACTTGCTACAGAGAAAAGCATTGGAAGTGGCAAGCTAACTCTTGAACTTTAGCGAGGTACTTAGCCATGCTTTGTTCTCTGGCCTCGTACTCATCGTTGACTTGATTCACCACTAGCTGTGAGTTGCTGAGGACTTCGACATGCTTAGAGCTGAGGTCTCAGGAGAGTTGCAACCCTACCAAGAGGGCTTCATACTCGGCTTCATTGTTGGATGCAGGTAACTCAAATCTCAGCGCATACTCTATGACGACATTGTTGGGGGTGAGGTGAATGAGGCCCGCTTCACTTCCTTTGGCGTTGCATGAACCATCAACAAAAAGTCTCCACGCAGTGGGGACCTCCTCGGTCAGTCGTGCTTCTTCTGGCTCATCTTCGCGAGGCCAGCCGAGGGGCCTACTGAAAGTGCTTTCTGCTACGAAGTTAGCCAAGGCTTGCGCTTTGATCGTGGGCCTCGGTTGGTACTATATGTCAAACTCCGATAGTTCTATTGCCCACTTAATCAAGTGTCCCAAAATCTCTGGCTTGGCGAGGACGGCCCTAAAGGGCTGATTTGTCAGGACCATTATGGAGTGGGCTTGGAAATACGACATGAGATTTCTGGCCGAGGTGACGAGGGCGTAAGCTAGCTTTTCCGCTTCGGGGTACCGGGTCTCAGTGTTGTTGAGGACCTTGCTGACGCAGTATACAGGTCTCTGAACTCCGTCATCTTTCACTAGGACGGAGCTGACGGCCTTGTCTCTGACTGATAGGTACAAATATAGGGTTTCCCCTGACGTCGGCCGAGCGAGGAGTGGGAGCGGGAGCGAGGCGAGGTACAACTTAAGATCGTCGAAGGCACACTGGCACTCCTCCGTCCACTAGAAATCTTTTAGCTTCTTGATAGTGCGGAAGAAGGGAAGGCAGCGGTCTGCCAACTTCAACATGAAGCGATTGAGCTTCATGTAGAATTTACGTAGAGTATCAAACGTTTCGGCCAAGTCCGAGGTGTGTGCTTCGGTCTTCATGCTCTTCACCACCATGTCGTCTACGTAGGCTTCGAATTTCATCCCCATCTGATTCTTGAAAATCTTGTTGACAAGGCACTGGTAAGTGGCCCCTGCATTATTAAGGCCGATCGGCATTACCTTGTAGCAATGCGCGCCATGCTCAATGATGAAAGATGTCTTCTCCTTGTCGTCGGGGTGCATCTGCATCTGGTTGTACCCGGAGAAGGAATCCATGAAGATAAGTAGTTCATACCCTGCAGTGGCATTGACGAGGTGGTCTATCCTCGGAAAAGGAAAACTTTCCTTCATGCAGGCTCGGTTAAGGTTTGTGAAGTCAATACAGATCCGCCATTTCCCAGTAGCTTTCCTTACCAAAACCACATTAGACAACCAGTTTGGGGTAATGTACCTTACGGATGAAGCCAATGTCAAGTAGATTATCAACTTCCTCTCCTATAGCCTTCCATCATTCTGGTGCAAAGTTCCTCTTCTTTTGCTGAATTGGCTTAGAGCACGGGTCCACGCTCAGCCTATGAGTAATGACCGAAGGGTCAATTCCAGGCATATCGGTGATGGACCAAGCAAAGTTGTTGGTGTTAGTTTTGAGGAAACTTACTAGTTCAGATAGGTGTTTAGGGGGGAGGTTGGACTCGACGCGGACCGTCTTTTCTGGGGTTGACTCATCCACCAGAACCGAGGCGAGGTCCTCAGCTGGTTGGCCTCGGCTCGCTAGTTCTTCCCGGGGGTCGAGACCTTCTAGTGATAAGGCCTCCTTATTCTTTCCTTTTAGTGCCTCCACGTAGCATTGGCGGGCGATCTGTTGGTTCCCACGAACGACTCCAACACCATGCTTAGTGGGAAACTTAAGGGCCAGGTGATAAGAGGACATGGCTGCCCCTAGTGCATGAAGGGTTGGTCTTCCCCTTATCGCGTTGTAGGGAGAGGCAACCCTCACCATTAAGAACTCATCCATCCAAGTCACCTGGTGTGGCGTTGTCCCTGCCGTGATGGGTAGGGTAATCTTTCCTTCTGGCCTGGTGACGCTACCGGAGAAGCCGACGAGGGGAGCGTCAGCTGGCTAGAGTCTCTCTTGGGCAAGCTTCCTTCTCTCATAGGTGTCGTAGAAAATGATATCAGCTGACAAGCCGTTATCCACCAAGATATTTTTCACCATAAAATTGGAGATGATGGTTGCAACCACGAGGGCATCGTCGTGGGGGACAGTAACCCCCTCTAAGTCCTCGTCAGTGAAGATGAGGGCATGTAGACATCTCGGCCTCCATGGAGTATCTGGGTATTTCTGCTTCTTCGGGGCATGCTCCTGGAAATTGAGCTGTCTGGCGTAGGCTTTTCGAACCAAGGCTGAGGCTCCACCCGAGGCCATGCTCCCAACAAGGACGTCGATGACGCCTGCCACTTGCTGGTGCTTCTGCTGGGATGACGAGGTGCCGACCTCTCCTCCGACGAACTGTTTGAGGTGTCCTCGGTGAATGAGAGACTCTATTTCATTCTTTAGGTCATAACAGTCCTTGACGTCGTGCCTGGTGCCGTGGTGGTACTTGCAATACTTCATAGGGTTTCCCCTCTTGGGGTTCCACTTCAGTTTCCTTGGCCACTTCATGAACTTTTCTTCCCTTATCTACATCAGAATCTGGGTGCGAGTGGAGTTGAGTGGCGTGTAGTCCCTGTAGGCTAGGGTGGCGGGCTTCTTGTTGTCTTTGTCGCCATTGTTGCCAGGGTGGCGCTGGTCTCCACCTTTCCTCTTCTTCTCTAGGGGCCCATCATAGCGCTTGGCTACCCTTTCTTTGTTGTCCCCGACTGAAGCCTCTTCGACTGCAATGTATTTTTGGGCCTTTTTGAGGAATTTAAGTTTAGTCTTCGGTGGGGTCTTGGCAACCGTGCACTTGAGAGCCAAGCCGGGCGGAGTCCGTTGATGGCCGCGTGCATGGAGACCATAGGGTCGAGGTCTCGCACTTTGAGCTATTCTTTCTTGAAGTGGTCAATGTAAGACCGCAGGCTTTCACCCGGCTCCTGTTTGATCGACATCAGAGAGACTACGCTCTTCTGGCATCGTCAGCTGTTGATGAAGCGGGCGAGGAACAAAGTTGTAAATTGCTTCCACGAGCTGATTGATCGAAGAGGAAGGCTGGAGAACCAGTGGCAAGCGGCCCCCCTGGTCTCAGCTCGCAACTTTGCAATCCCTGGGTTGGCATGGTCATGGGCCCTACTCCTGTCTTCGTGGACTCGATGGTTTTCGGCTCGGACTCCCGAATACTCCGAGACAGGGTCACATGCGCTTCTGCCGGCGTGACGGTCATTTAGAACATCCATGAGGTCTGAGACGGGAGGTGGAGTGGAGTGGTGTTGGCTCTCGCCTCGGGAGTGAACTCCTGGGCGGCCGAACTGCCCGCCATCGTCTTGGGGGGCCTCCCTACTACGACGGTGGTGCTGGTCCGAAAATTGATGACTGTCTTCAGATTAAGCGGGCACACTCTCAATTCGGCTAGGAGGACAGACATTCCTTCGAGGTGAGTCGGGGAGGCAATTATTGCCCGATTCTGATGGTTCTGCCAGCGGATTATCGTGGATGAGGGCCGGTACCTCGATGTTCTTGCGTTGGCCCTGATCCTCTGACACCCCACCGGGACAGTTGCCTTGAGAGGGACCTCCTGCTCGAGGGTAGACTTCTTCAATTCCTAGGGTGAGGCAGTCCAAGCGATCGATGACGACTTGAAACTGTTCGTAGGTAACCAGGTTCGGATTGTTCCTGGCTCTCCTCACCATGGCTTCCAACTTAAAGGGATTTTGGATCTTAGAGTGTTATTATTGTTTATCTTGAAATGGGGGTCTTCTTTGCAACCAATTTCCCATAGACAGTGCCAATTGTTGCCGCACGGGTTGGCCAAGGGCAACAAGGTAAATTCACTCTTCAAGCTTCGAGCGTTAACCGAGGACCTTGAGGCCTCGAAAGAGGTTGATCGATGCTGAGGGCGGCAAGTCGAAGCGAAGTACTCCTTCTGAGGACTATGGTAGCCGAGGACTGCTAGCCAAGGCAGGGTCCCTGGTGATCTAAGATGCTGTAAGACAGGAAGTGTGAAAGACCTCGGGGTGGATACCCGAGGCGGAGGCTCTCACGCTCAACTTAGTAAAAGGTGTGAAGTAGGGGAGAGTGCAAAAGTGCTCCTGGAGAGAGTCCTCGGATGCACCAGATCTCCCTGAATTAATGCTAGGTAGAAAATGTAGGTGCAGGAAGTAAATGAGTGAATAATGTTGGAGTTACTCTGTTCCAGCCCCTTTTAAGGGGTAGTTACCTCTTATTTATACTTGAGCGTGCTGGTGGTACGTGAAGATGAATGCCTCGAATGAGAGCCATACGAGGTCAAACTGCAAGCCTTGGCGGTACGCCAGATAGTTATGTGATTGGCTCCGTACAAAGGCAACAAGGCTCTCGCCTACTGTGGCTGACGTTAGTAGGCGTTAATGGGCTAGGCCAGGCTAACCCACATCACTCCCTATCCGACAACTTGAGTGTCTATGAGAAAACAAATAGAGTTCCGCAGCTGACCCCAAATGCACGCCTCACACAACTTTGACCAAGGCCAAATAGAAATGGGAAAACGATCAGAGACGAAACAAAGACTATGAGGATTAGAACCATAGATCTGAAGTCTTCTCCTCAAGCTTGGATGAAAATCCGTGTCATCCAAAACTCTATCAAGAACCTCTCGAACAAACATCATAGATGTGATATAGAAACTCTCACACACCGAGAGAGAAAACTCTCATTTCTCGATTATAATTAATTAAATTTCAACACAACGTATAAATGGAATTGTACTTGTCCACGCCTAAAGCCTGATGGACATACACTCCTAGCTTTATACGGACTTAAATGATTAAATTAAGGGAAAATTATAGATAGGTATCTTGTACTTTGGGGGAGTGACAGATAAGTACTCTTAACTTTCAATTGTAACACTTAAATATCCTGAGTTTTCAAAAATAGATACACAGGTTCATCCGTTAGTATTCTCCCAATTAAATATTACATAATGCCAGAAATATCCTTATCGTGTATTTCTGAGATCATTCTCAGATAACCGAACATCTTCCCATGATGACATTCTCACATGGACAACAAATAATATATTCAAATTTTCCGACGACAACATTCTCTAATGATGATTTTACTCCATAGAATTATCTCAAAAATACATGAGAAGGGTATTTTTTATATTATGCAATGTTTAAATGATGGAATACTAACGAATGGACCCAAATGTCTATTTTTAAAAGTTTAAGGTATTCAAGTATTGCAATTAAAAGTTAAAAATATATTGGTCTACCTAATAATCTATATCTATTATCCCACGTGGAGGATAAAAACAAAGATTAAGGATCAAACTATCACCAAGGAGAAATAACTTATTAAGTTAAATGATGCAGGAAGCTAATTAACGCTGATGTTGATTTATTTCATTTGGTTAATTATCATTCATTAATTATCATTCATTAATCATTTTTTTATTTGTTAGGGCAGGACGGCCATACCTAACCGAGTACAAACCACTTATTTTGCGACGTGGTTTTAGCACTCCCTAAAGCACTAAATCAAAGCATTCGATGAATTATTGTAGCTCAGACCTGTTCATGGGTCGGACTTTCTTTGTTAAATGTTTATGCCCGAGTTTAAGCCTGGTTCGACCATCGAGCTTAAGTCTTGAGTCTGAGTCTGTTCCGATTATAAAGTCCAAAGCCTGGTCCTGAGTCCGATTAGAAATTTAGAATTTTTTTATTTTTAATTCAATTAAAAGTTGTTTTATTTATACTAAAAGACATCAAAACCTAAAAAAATAATGAAAATTCTCATTATTACTTGAAAAAAGAGAAGAAAATATATTATATATGTACTTTTTTATTATATAAAATATATTTTTATTAATATAATATATTATCAAGTTGGGATCAAGCTCGGACTGGGCCTTTTAGAGAAAGCCCGAGCTCGGTCCAAAAAAAAATTGGGCCTGATATTTTAGGTCCGAGCCCAAACCCACGGGCTTAAAATCTTATCCAAACCCGACTTAGATCGGATCAGGCATGTCGGGCTACCCGGCCCAAGTATAGCCCCGAAGAAGTGACGTCGTGGTTGGGCCACAACAATACATCAAAGGCGAAGAATCGTGGTTATAGCCCTGCTCTACAACCATGCCGTAGCAAAACTGAACTCAACCGAGTCATGTTAACTCGTTTAACAATTTGTTTATTCAGTTATTCTAACTGGGATATGATATATGAGACCATAGATCATGTTGACCCGAAAGCAAGGTGCACGCTGTAGCAGATCCGGACTCTTAATAAAGGCAAGAGAGACAGACTTGTGAAGTCCAGTTTTGGCCCTTGGGTGGTTTGTTCTTGGCCACGTTGATGCCCAGAGCCATGGGACCGGCGGTCGAGCCCACCGCCGCTGCCGGCGCTGGAGAAGTTCTGCTTGGCAAGTACAAGCTCGGTCGCCTTCTTGGCCGTGGTAGCTTCGCTAAAGTCCACCAAGCTCGGCGTCTGGCTGACAATACCGACGTAGCCATCAAGGTTATGGACAAAACCAGAGCAACCATCACTACAATGGAGCCCAACATCATTCGGGAAGTCTCGGCAATGCGTCGCCTGCGCCACCCAAACATAGTCCGAATTCATGAAGTGATGGCAACCAAGTCTAAGATCTATCTAGTCATGGAGTACGCTAGAGGAGGCGAACTTCTTTCCAAGATCCTCCGAGTAGGACGCCTAACAGAACCAGTGACTTGCCGATACTTCCAGCAGGTCGTCTCAGCTCTCCACTTCTGCCACAACAATGGCATAGCCCACCGTGACATCAAGCCTCAGAATCTCCTGCTAGACCACGACGGTAATCTCAAGGTCTCCGACTTTGGCCTCTCGGCTCTCCCCGAGCAGCTGAAAGATGGGCTTCTTCGCACGGCCTGCGGCACGCCGGCCTACACTGCACTGGAGGTGATCGGGCGTAAGGCCTACGATGGAGCCAAGGCCGACGCTTGGTCTTGTGGTGTAATTCTCTACGTCTTCCTTGCTGGGTTCCTACCTTTTGACGACGGTAATCTGGCTTTGATGTATCGTAAGACCCAACGTAGGGAGTTTCGGTTCCCTCCGTGGTTCTCCAAACCTGTTCGATGGGTAATCAGTCGTCTTTTGGATCCGAACCCAGAGACCAGGATTAGTATTGAAGCTCTCATGTCAGTTGCTTGGTTCAAGAAATCGCCTAATCGATCAAAAGAGTACGTCGATCCTTTTCAGTTGGATCTTATGACGATGTTGCCTAAAGAGGGATTGGTGATGAATGCTTTTGATATCATTTCACTCTCCTCTGGTTTGGATTTATCTGGTCTATTCGAAGCGGGAACAAAGAGAACGACAAGATTCACGTTGTGGGGTTGGGAAAGGGAAGGTTGGTTATGGTAGTTGAAGTGTGGGAGGTGGCAGAGTCGCTGTTTTTGGTAGAAGTGAAAGGGATTGGTGGGGAAGGAGAGGAAGCACAGTGGAAAGACATCAAAGCAGAGATTCAAGACATAGTTTCTGACTGGCTCAACGACGACGATGGTGTCTCTGTTT